CGCCGCGCGGGGCCCCCCGCCGGCGGCTCGACGCTGAGCCTGGAGGGACCGCGGCGCTGAGACCCGGACCGCAGAGCCAAGGGTGAGTAATCCCAGGCGCTCTGGGCCGGGCGGACAGAGCAGTGGGGACAGGGGCCTCCAGGCCCGCCGGAGGGGGTAGACCGACCTCCCGCAAGACCCGCTCCTGGCCATTGCCTGGGGGCGCAAAGTTAAAAATCCAGTCTCCGTAGAAAAGGGCTTTTGGAGAGGTGGAGAAGGAGAGGGGCTGGAAAGGAAGGTCCTTACCATTCTGGGATCCAAATTGGCCGGCTCTTGGGGTCCAGGGACCTGCCACCCCAAGGGTGCGTCACGAGGGTGCTGCATGGGAGAGCAGAAGGCCAGAGGGGGCGCCCTTGCCCAGGCTTCCCGCGGCGTCGGAGGCAGAGCTCTAAAGGCCAACACTGCCCAGGCCCTGGGGACATGCCCTGACCCGTACAGCTGAGACACAGGAAGGAACGCTGGAAATGGAGTGATTTCTTAGATACTCTCCGAGCCTTTCACACTGCCCTCTGACCCCAGCCGCTCCCAGCGCCATCAGTGTTGAGTGTGTGTGTTGGGGTTGGGGATGGTGGTGGCTGGTCTTGGCTGAAGTGCAGAATGAGATGTCGATCCCTGTTGCTGAGGAGGACTTAGTGCCTCTTGTTCCTCAGCTGGACCCTAGTGGTCAACTCCACTGCAGGAGTTGGTTCTGTTGTCCTTAAAAGTACAGGTGTGCGTCTGCCCTGAATATCCCATCCCTGGCAATGTGTATGCCCAGGGGACATTCAGGGCCATGGTCTGGTGTGTTCTCACCTCCAGAGGACAAGGACTAGGGATGATACCACATGTACTGAGTAAATACTGTGGAGTGACACAACTTGGCTCATACTTCAAGGATGCAGCTGTGTTGAATCTTGGCAGCTGTATTAATTTCCTATTGCTGCTCTAACAAATCACCCATAGTGGCTTAAAACAGCGCAAATTTCTTATCTTACGGTTCTGGGGGTCAGAAGTGTGAAATGGGTCTCACTAGGCTAAAATCAGGGTGTCATCAGGGCTGCGTTCCCTCTGGAGGCTCTGGGGGAGAATCCATTTCCTTGCCTTTTCCAGCTTCTAGGGGCTGCCCACATTCCTGAGCTCATGGCTCCCTTCTTTCTTCAAAGCCAGCAACGGCCAGTCGAGTCTTTCCCAAACTGCACCCCTCGGAGACTCTCTCTCTTCTGCCTCCCTCTTTCACCCTTGCGATTCCATTGGGCTCAATCCAGGGTAATATCCCATCTCCGAATCCTTAACTTAATCATATCTGCAGAGCCTCTTTCGCCATGTAAGGTGACATATTCACAGATCCCAGGGATAGGATGTGGACATCTCTGGGGGTCTATTATTCCGCTGACCACTGTAGCCAGTCTTTTGACTGGACCAGAGGACCCTGGGGTGGGTGATATTTTAATAACGGCTGATATTTAATGAGCACATACTCTCGGGCAGGAACTGTTCCAAGCACTTTACACAACCCTATGATGTAAATGCCATTGTTACCGTCGTCGTTTTACACATGAGGTACTGAGAGGTTTAAATAACTTGGCAAGTGGCAGAGCTGGGATTTGAACCAGGCAGTCTGGCTCCAGAGGGCACCCTCCTAACCTCTAGGCTAGGCTGCCTCTCTGGCACCATTATTGCCCCCCAAGATGCCAGCCAATGGCCTGGGAGCCTGTCAAGCACAGTTTGAAGCCCAACTCAGAGGGAGAAGTTTCACCAGGCTTTTCTAGGTCAGACCCCTGTCTAGACTGCAAATTCTTTGCCAGTCCTCTCTCATTTCAGCTCTTTCCCATCATCCTAACCACCCACACCCCAGTATAGGCACCTAAGCCATTATCCAGGGGGGTTGGAGGGGAGCTTCCAATGGTTCTCTTTGGGGCTCCAGCCAGTTAAGTCTGGAAAAGTTCCTGGGTCGGGTGCTACCCCGTTGCCGTGGAGTTGATTTTAACTCATAGCGACCCTATAGGACAGAGTAGAATTGCCCCATAAGGTTTCCAAGGCTGTAATCTTTACAAGAGCAGACTGCCACATCTTTCTCCCGTGGAGCGGCTGGTAGGTTCGGACCACCAACCGTTCAGTTAGCAGCTGAGCACTTAACCACTGCACCACCATGACTCCTTCCTAAGTGCCAGATACCACTCGAATTCGTCCCTGTCCTCCCCAAGCATCCAAACACCAAAGTAGCATGAGCCCCATAGGATGCAGATCTTATACAGCAAATCAAGGGAAAATAATCACCTCTCTCACCACTTAACTAGCTTGCCATCACCAAGAAGTCTGCACACCTAAACCAGAGGGATCACACAGCCTTCTAGCAGGCATTGGGTGAAGGGAGGAGGGGCTAACATTTATTGAACACTCACTATAGGAAGCCTTCTTTCTAAGAGTTTTACACTTATTAACTCCTATAATACTCGTGACAACCCTGTCAGGCACTATTATTATCCCCATTTTACAGATAAGGAAACTAAGGCACAGAGAGGTCATGTAACTTACCCAAGGTCACACAGCCAATAAGTGGAGGAGCACAGATCTGATCTGTTCTAAGCAGGAGAACCAAGGCAGAAGGTTGGCCAAGGCTGATTGAACACCCCAGCCTGGCCCACCCCAGTTTAGCCAGCAAAGCCCGCTTTTGTGCCTTCCCAGCATAACGTCTGTCTTTACATCTGCCAGGCTGGGCTCCTGGTTTCTGTGTCAACCAGATTGCTTGAGGGCACCTTTATATTTGATTCTCACACCAATTTTCATTATTAACTCCATTTTAAGGAAAAAGAAAATGAGGCTCACAGAGGGTGCATAACTTGCCAGAGCTCTTATAGTAAGACAGCAACAGAGGACTCAAACCCAAACTGCCTCAGCTTGAGGAAGCCTAGCCTGAAGGCCTCCTCCAGGAGTCCATGGTCCAGCCAGGGATGCGACATGGGTTCCCAGCCTCCAGGTAAGTGTGTTCACACTTCACCTGGACCTGAGCTGACTGCCTGCTGGCCTCAGAGTTTTCTGCCCTCTTGCATCCCCATTAGTCATAGTCTGTCTGAGAGCCCCAGGGATTATCTGAGTGGGGACGGAAACAATTTTGTGGTGTTAAACATCTCGTCTGAGTAATCAGGTCAGGCCCCAAGCCTGCTGGAGTGTGGCTGATCTCAGAAAAGATAGTTTTCAGAAAAACCAAGTTCTTGCTGCCTGCAGCCCTCCTGGGAGGTGCCTACCTCTGTGATGGCGAGTATTTCTCAGAATGAAAGTTGTCCACCTCTGCGCTTGGAAGCTCACGGTGCTGAGAAGGACGGGCAGGGGAATCCACCAGCAGAGGCTTGGGGCTGAGCAGGGATACATGAGCTGGTGCTGGAGCTGTGGAAGGAAGTAGGGAGTTACTGTGTTGTGTGGGGCATAGAGATTTCCTGAGTCGGGCCAGCTGTGCTAATTGGAAGGCTGAACTGGAAAAGCAGCCAGTAGATAATCTGTGCACATTCTTAGGTACACGCACGTTGTCCATTCCTGTGAGTCTGCAACCATGGCACATCCGATAGGGACACTTCTGTATCAGGCAGGGGCTCAGCAGGAGGCAGATGGCACACTCAGGAGGGGTAATAGAGGAGAGTTTTAACACAGGGCCGGTTGTCAAAGGTGTCGTTCAGGTTAAGGGAATCAACACGGATGGTGCAGCACCCTGGGGCTAGCATCTCTGGGGAGCTGTGACTATCCCTAGGCCTGCAGGGGAAAGGGAGAGTCCTAGGGGTTAAACTGTGTCCCCCCACCCCAAATATGTGTTGGAATCCTAATTCCTATACTGTGGATATAATCCTGTTTGGAAATAGGGTTTTCTTTGTCATGCTAATTAGACCATAACCAGGTATGATGGGTTCTAAATCTGACCACTTCCGTGTTATAAAAAAAGCAGATTACACACGCACACACGCACGCACACACGGGAAGACAGATGCCACGCGAGGATGGTCTGCAAACCAAGTAACACAGAGGAACCAAGGAACGCCCGAGGCTACCAACAAGGAAGGAATCCACACAGCTGAGACCCTGATTTGGACTTCTATTCTCCAGAACTGTGAGAAAATAAATGTCTGTTCTTTGAAGCCACTTGTTTGTGGTATTTGTGTTACAGCAGCACTAGGAAGCCGAGACAGGGAGGGAACGGTTACTGGAAGGTGGCGAGAGCAGGGCCAAGAGGGGCTCTCCAGTAAAGGGAAGCTGCCAACCTGTAGCAACCCTGGCAGGGGGGTAAATACTGAATGACCCCACACTCCTCCCACCCTCCGGCCTCCAGTTAGTGCTGCCATTGGCCAAACCCAACAGAAGCTAGAGGACAAGGGAGCCCAGGTGATAAAATCCACAGAGTAGGACGGATCTGGAAGGGCAGGTGTGTGGCACACTTCTGACCTGGTGTAACACCTCTCTCACTCATTCCTCCAGCTGCAATTTCTGAGCACCTACGGTGTGCTGCCCTGGGCTTGGCGCTGGAAAAATGCAGTGGATGAATTGTTCTCAGGCTCTGCCTTTAGACAAAATGGAAAGCTGACTCTTTGCTAAGACAAAAAACAAAAAAACAAAAACAAAAACTCAAGGTGTGGGGCACTTCTGACCATGTCTCTGGAGCCCAGCCCAGTGTGGGAGATGGTTTCTGTGGGTGAGAAAGGCGCCTGTTAGTGCAGCATCTCAGATCAGCATTCCATGAGCGTGGGCCATAATTTACCATTCTCTGGGCCCAGGAAGGGTCTGGGAAACAATGCAGGCTTCGTTTTCATGTAGGGAGCCATTTGTTGTTTATAAGGTCAATGCCAGGCTTCGTTTACAAAACAACACATTCTGCTGGACAGCTCGACACCAAGAAACACGACAAAGTCCAGCCAAAAGATGATCTAACATTTTCTTAAGGAGAGCATGGCCAGAGATGCCAAGCCTGTACTCCACGGGCCAATTCTGGATCTTTACGTAAGTGGTATAGGAGGCACACTGTTGTTTCCAAAATGTGAAATGGTAATCAAAATGGGGCTTGTTTGAGCTGAAGAGGATTTAGAGCCTGAAAGGTCCTAGCTATGTTTAGACATCTGCAAACAGAGACCATGGGATAGAAAAAGGGGGACAGGGCCACCAGTCCTGCCACAGAGGCTATGCACTGCACCAACTCCTGGAGCCACCATTTCATAGCTTATGCTGTGCATGGCACCCCCTGGAATGGTGCAGTGTGGTGGCCCTGGCAGGGACATAGTTCCAGATTCACGTTGTAATAAACTCGGCACTGTACTCCTGAGAGCCAGAATCCTGGATCTGGTGACTTAAGATGGGCTTTAAAACACCCCACTTCTTTCCT